CTTGCTACACAACATAAGAACTTGTATATGCATCAGAAAAATTATAAAAATGAAGAATTCTCTCCTAGTCATTTTTCATGAATACCCTGTACTACATTGTATATAGCCCAGGGTCATTTGTCAAATTTTGGAACGAGTTAAAAAAATTCATTAAAAAAATCAATTTTGGTCAGAACCAGCTCAAATAGGACACTCACATCCAAAATGTGTATTAAAATTATTTCATACTCTAATAAATTTTGTTATACGCTTGCTTTTTATGAAATTCTTTAGCCTTGAAGCCTCCTTCTCAAGCAATGCCTGCTCTACTATTGGACAATTCTCGTCTTACTCCTTCATCACATTTCCAAGATGTGAGACTAATAACACTTGAAGGATCTTTCCCACAGTAAGCTTCTCTGCTACAAAGAATAGAATACTTTTGATCTACACGTATGTCTAGATTGTACCTCTTTTTTGCATTTGCCCATTTCTTTGTTCCTCTTTCTCCTCTCCCTTCTCTCTCGTTCTTTCTTTCACAGCTACTCCCCTGGTGATGTGCTCATGATAGTTCCAGAGAATACTTCAGAGTCAGTCGAGAGGTTCCTTCAAGTGACAGAGATGACTCATCTTGCTGATCTCTCCTTGAATATAACATCAAATGAAGGTATGCATGTGGCGGATAGATTAATAACCTGAGGTGTATGAAATTAATAATAATGATGATGATGATAATGTTAATAATAATGATGATGATTTTACTGTATCTCTAATCATTGATGCCCTAATTTAACTGCATTTGATAGCTAGGAAATAAATGTATTTCTTTGCAGCTTTATAAACAATTTAAGCATTATACGAAGTAATCATATTTACTCTTCATAGAGGGTATCTCAGTCCCCCAGAGACTCTCCTCTCCTTGCATTCTAAGGACACTGCTGAGATGCTACTGGGACATCCAGTCCGTACCTAGACGATCATTCTTTGAGATATTGTCATGGTTTGCCGTGAACGAGTTAGAGAGAGAGAAACTTGAAGAGTTTGTTACTCCAGAGGGACAGGAGGAGCTGTATTCATATTGTAACAGACCAAGAAGAACAATTATTGAAGTAATGGCGTCTATATTATATACTGTATGTATGGTATATTCTATCTTTTTAATATTTATTTTACAGGTATTAAATGATTTTCCTTTGACTGCTACTAAGATCCCAGTCTCTTATCTCTTAGACTTACTTCCTGTATTGCAACCGAGAGCATTCTCTATTGCTTCATCAGCAACAGTGAGCCACTCATTCATGAAATAATAGTAATTGCGCATAAAGCAGCTAAAAAAAGTTTTCATTATTCATTTTCGATATTTTAATCATAGTAAAAGGACTATAATTTGTGAGATTAACATTACTTGTTTAAAATGTAAATAATCATTAATTATTTGAGTGCTTCCTTTTAGACTAATCCTCAACATGTTCAAATTTTGGTGGCAGTTGTTGAGTATAAAACTAAACTCTTTCATCCTAGAAAGGTAAGTTCTTTAAGATTCTATAAACACGCCCAATTGTAAATGGATAAGTTACATAAGGGGCTATTGTGGTTAATAACAGCTGTTTGCAAATAGATTTTTTGTTAGATTTATTGATTCTTAATTATTTGATAGTGGAAACTATCATTTATAACTACAATAGACCTCTTTATGCTTATAAAATAAAGCAGCAGTGAAGTATAGTTTATAATGCTTGCACACTCCAACTAGCTGATTCATTAAAATTTGCTTGTGATTGATATGCATCAGTTGCAACAAGGATTGCCTGGTTGTACTTGTATCAGCTGTTTTGATGCTCACTTTTCCTGTAACAGTTGTATTCCAAACTGCACTACAATCAGATATGAAGGAGCTTCTCTTTGTTCTTGTCTTCTTGGGTGCTTCCCTATTACCTGTTTCT